AAGAAGTTGTTTGCTTTTAGGTAAAATGCTACAATAAAAAAATAGTAACCCTAATGTTTGATGTTCTCACAGTTGTGTATCCATGGATACAGATCTTTACGAGAAAAAAGCACTCAGATCAGTAATCTGTTTGACATTTCGGCTCTTTGAATGACAGAAAAAAGGCTGATGAATGAGACAAATGAGCTCACAAAAGCATTTGAGCATGTGTGCCAAATTTCCAGAAGAATATTTGCTATTCACATATATTTCACAAGACAGTTGATTGTTTTTCATGAAATAAATGCAGCATTGTCACGTAAAATTTCAAATGAATTAAGAAAGCGCATCAATCCCTCACTTTTCCCAAGAACAACTTATTCATATTAGTTGTAGACATTGAAGCATTTGCCTTTTGTACTTCCCGTGAGGCCTGTCTAGTGACTGCAGTTTATAAATGCTTAAGTTCTCAAGTTCCTTTTATTTGTGTACATGTCCTTCACTTATGAGGGGAACTCTGATGGATCAAAAAATACTGTACATACTGTAGTTACAGTTAAACTACTTGTAAATATTTTACTCTTTGAAGATAATTGTTTTTATTATGAACAAATGGGATTTTTTTGTCTTGAATGTAGGTGAATTGAGTTTGTAGATCTTGCGTAGGCCTACTAAGTGATCAGTTTAACATTTTGTATGTACTTGTTTGAATACAGAATTTTGAAAATAAAATAATAATTACATTTTGTGTTGTAGTTTCTAGTCAGTGTTGTATGCTAGCATGCTTAGGTGCTAGGACTATGAATAAGGTCCTTACTGGAATGTCATTTGAATACCTGGTTACTATTTATGTGATGGAGACAGACATTTCCATGTTAGCTATGTTATATTTATGAGGAACAATGTTCTTGGAACTATAGACTAAGAAGGTAGCATATGCATCTATTCCTATTTCATATTCTAGGAGACAACTTAAATCTTACTTTTAAAACTAGTAAGGTATTTACCTTTAGTTTTCAAACCGTTGTAGTTAATTATTGTTCTAACCTTGACTTAGTCACAACTGCAGAGGGAATAGGCTTAGGGGTAGCTATATAACGAATCGTTTTTAAATTGTTTAAGGTGCATAGCATGAAGGCAAACATGTTTCCGAATTTCGCCAAATTTTCTATTAAACAATCACGCCTGTTTTAAGCATTAACTTACTCAGATTATATTGTTAACCGTTGCATTGTTAAAACAGTGAGTCAGCTTTTAAAAAAATAATGGTATACTAATTGTACAATTGCAGTTAGCGAAGGACTAAAATTGGGTGGGGAACGCCTTTTAGCTAAAATAGATAGGCTACTAATAATTAGAGTCTGACAAGATAATTGCTGAATGAACCTACAATAAGAGCCGTTGATTTATGAGGGGAACACCCATTTTACTATAGTAGCCTACAGCAGCTGTGAAAATGAAAATATGTAACCATTTAAAAAACAGTGAGCGCTACTGCTGTGAAGAAAAGTAAAGCTGTTGTTGAGAATTTGTTTAAAGCCTCGCTCATTCCTGAGGTGTTAACTGTGCTTAGAGCAGCAGCGCGAATCCAGTTAAAACTTGCCCCTTATAGTCTACCGCTTGACAGAAATGGAGAGCGTCAGATAGTCTTTCAGTCTTTTCAAATATTTCAGATGGGTTACATGTCAGCCGTTTGACATTTGTTGAAATTGCTGTAAAGAACGATCAATAAATGCGCATCGCTCGAAAGCCAAAGTATAGGCTAAGCTTTGTAATTGTATCTCAGGGTCAGTGTTAATCATTATTGCACCAGTTGAGAAGTGAGTGTCATAAAGATTGTGGTTTGACCATAATTTATCCCCCCAGACACTGGGGTAATATAATTTCAGGAACAAACAAAGTGCTAGCATGAACTTTAAAGTCCTGACCGAGTTACAATTGGACTCTGACCATGGTTAGACCATGCCGGGCAATTTTATTGACCAAATGATAAAATATTTCACCATAATACACATTTACCTACTTGATGTAAGTGGAATGATAAGACTTTAAAAGAGGACACTGACTTTGTAGTAGTGCTTTGACATAAATTGTTAGACATGTAGGCCTGCACCACTAGAGGGCGCAACACGAAAGACCGCTGCTGCAGCTGAACCTGAAACAACAGCAGGGCGTCTCAGCACCGCCACATGGTTGCACAGCAGAGTTCTTCAAGACACTGAACACCGAATTGTTTTATTTGGATCATTTATATATTTGAACAAACAAAAATGAGTATATAAACTCTATAATTACATTAATACCAGTGACGTGATTTTATCAATAAGACATCCTTGTGAGAATATTCATGCCAAAAAAGGGCCAAGCCAGAAATAAGGAAGTTGCTACAAGAACACGTCCTCCTGCTTCGGGTCTTAAATTAGAGTAATCTTCATCATCTTCATTTAATCTTAATAAAATTAGCCAGTTTTCTTTCTTAAAAAAAAAAAAAAAATCAGTTACAAAACAATTAGACAAAATAGACAATTCCTGAATTATAATACACAACACTCTCGTTGCAACATTTTATTCTATAAAAGGAGTGGGTAATCACAACTGTACAGGGGAAACTGACTTTTAACACCATTTCTCACAGTATCAAAAAGCTCGCATTTTCCTCTCTGATCTTTACACACTTGTTCTGTACAAATACAAAAGAAATAACATTAATTACTTGTTTTGTTATAATGATAACTGCATTGCACTGAGTAATATAGTACTGGCCCATAAGTTACTGCATTCAATATAAAATACCTATGATTCAGAAAGTTTAAAAGAGAATTGAATGATAATCACACTTGCACACATACACTCACACAAAACCCAAACCCTTTCATGATTCGAGCACACTATTTTAAACAAATCAGATACAAGTGATGAATGCAAACGTGCTCAGATAGACAAAGATGTCACAAATTTCAGTCGTGGGCACTTAAACATTGATAAAAGGCCAACTCCTAATGTTATGCCTACTTGGAATAGAATAATGTCAATTTAGGATGATATGAAGGTTTTACCAGCATGTCTTGTAGTAATTAGAAATAGGCCATGCATGTGCTACGAATGGCCGTGGTTGCACAAATTTCATGGATTTCATGTGGATTATCAGTGCTTCTAGGCCACGTCTGTAAGGGCACCAACGTTTTGACATGCTCACCAACTTCACACAAAAAAAAAAAAAAAAAAGGAACTACTCTCCGTGCAACACTTTTGGGGTGTACAACACATAGGGGACTCATTTCAAGGGATTTTAAAAAAATTGGGGTGGACAACAAAAAGGGGACTCATTTTAAGGGATTAAAAAAAAAAAAAAAAAAAAAATTACATTTCAAAGAAACAACAAAAAATAAAACGAAAACGAGTATTTCACATTATCTAGTCAGTGTTAAAAATAGAAATCCACCCGTTACATTTATTCAAGAACTTTGTAGATTATATACAGTATGTACATTAACTCTTTAATTATTCCTTGTCTGTATGTCTATGAACAGTTTTTAAAAAAAGAAAGGATCGCAATCGAATGCATATACTCTTCTAGAAAGATGTGCTTAGTAACGTTTTCGGGTTGAAGCGAGAGAACAATACAAAATCTACGAATGCATTGCTCTCTGAAGGTCGTGCAGCTGCTGCAGACATGCACTTAACTCTCAAAGGCTGGAATCAAGCGTTGCTTCTGAAAAAAGTATTAATGCGCACTTAATCAGCTGCTAGCAATTGAAATTATGACCATGGCTATGAGTGCAAGCTAGAGGGAAGAAATGTGTCAAAGGTACCCTCTCCTCAAAGATTTAAGTGGACTGTGCGCAACATTTTTTTGACATTAACGTCAAGTAACATCAACAGCATTTTGGGGAGAAGGGAGAGAGGGTGTTGAGGGGTATTTTTGCATATCATGCATATCAGGGCAGGAGCTGTTAAGACATGTTTTGTCACTGTGAACTAGGTGCAAATAGGGATTTTCAGGGTGCCTCACAAAAATAGGGGTCCCAGTATCGAACCCTGAGGAACTCCGAAAACCTGCTGCGCAAATCAGATTTGCACGTTTACTTCAATTAAGGCTCTGATTGGCTAGAAGTAAGAATGCATCTAGACATCTCTACTATTATTTCTCTGATTATGTCTTCTTTACAAATATGCAAACAAGTGTGCTTATACACACACACACACACACACACAAACACACACATCCCAATTTAGAAATCTCCCCCTTTCCCTGCGAGTTGTTTCTTTTTTCAAACTTTTTTCACAGCCATATGAAATTATATCTGAAGGTTAGATAAAGATAAAGAACACCTTTTGATGGGTGTTAATTCTGTTAGACGCCATTAATTACAATGAAAATGTCTTTAAAAAACAACAAACAAACAAAAAAAAAGCAAATACTGTTTTTTGCACCTACTTTTGATGCTTAGACAACAGATACTATTTAAGAAAAAATTTACAAAAATTCACAGTCTTGTCAGCCCCCTGCCTCTACTTCTCATTTGGGTTAGGGTAGATATCAGAAAAACACCCAACTGATTTGTTAAAAAAAAACAAAAACACTAAAAGAGGGCATGGTACATCTTCAGCCGTCTTTACAATGTGCTCTACGCCAATTTCCATCCACACAGAAACGTACAGACTCTAAAATGAATGTAGGGTTTGGGGTGAGTTAGGGTTGGGCCGATAGACGATGCCATCGTCCATCGCCGATGGCTGACAGACATCACGATGTTAAGCTGACATCGTGATTGGAAATGAAGTGTACTACGGAAACCCTAAAGGGAATAAATAGCCTACGAGATGGGAGGATAAAAAAAAATATTTAAATACTTTTTCTCTCAATTATATCACGACATTTCTCCTTACTCTGTGTATGTGGTAAGTGAACTTTCATGTACTGTAATGCAAGCGGCTAACCTTTTAATGGCTCCGTATAACGCGTTATTTGTTTCACGCTTAGGGCACACCCCTAACCCCACCCCTGATGTCATCGTCCATCACGATGTTTCACTGTAGACATCGTCCGATGCCAATTTGGTAGACATCGCCCAACCCTAGCATGAGTATACAAATTTAGTACAACAAAAAGTTTGGATAAAATGTAAGAATTCAACAAGGCAGCTGTAGATGCATCTCCAACCCACCCATCTCATTAAAATTATCAAATTTATTACATAATTCTACTTTTTCCTCACCATCTTCTTGCATCCATCTTGCATAAAATCCTTTACTTTCTCATGTTTTTCTGTACTTGTTTTTAAAGAATCATCTCAATAAGGGGTACCTTCCCCAGTCATCATTCTCTGTTATAGATATAGCAGTGCTGCGTGCAGTTTGCCTTTCTTGTAGTCCCTTCAAGTAATGGCTAATGATCAGGCATTGAGATGGCGGTGGAGGTCACCAGTGGACGGGTGGTTTGTGGCTTCTGGAGGCATGGCAGAAAACTGCAGCCATGTTCTAACCAGTAGGGGTAACCAATATGGTCGTGCCACCCCTTATACCTCCATATTTAACACATATGTTCACATCTGGAGACTGGGGAGGTGACGTCAATAGCATTTGGAACCCCTGGATGGGCGTGCATGTCTCCTGAGGGCTGGGGAGGAAGGGGTACAAAGAGTTTCACATCATGACGTGGCGCCGTCGATGAAGTGCCAGGTGGTCAGAGCGGGAGAAGCTGCGGTCGCAGTCAGTGCAGCGAAAGGGTTTGATGCCGGTGTGCTTGCGAAAGTGCCGTGTCAGCTCGTCCGAGCGGGCAAAGCGCCAGGTACAGCCCTCCCATGTGCACTGGTATGGCTTTTCACCTGTAACGTCATCACCATGTCAATCAACATGATATATATGTATATATACACTAATGTAATAAAAAATGCAGAAATACTGTGAAATATCATTATAAAAAATTATATTTTTCTATATTAAAATAATTCTAAATGTCATTTATTCCTGTGATGGCAAAGCTGCATTTTCAGCAGCCACTGCTCCAGTCTTCAGTGTCACATGATCCTTCAGAAATATGCTGATCTGGTTTATTATTTTAACATTTCTTATTATTATCAATGTTGAAATTAGTTGTGCTGCTTAAGATTTTTGTGGAAACTGTGATTTTTTTCAGGATTCTTTGATATACAGAAGGTCAAAACAAGAGTATATTTAAAATATAAAAAAATTTGTAACATTATAAATGTCTTTAATACCACTGTTGATTAATTTAATGCACCCTTGCTGAATAAAAGCAAACATTTCTGTTACTGACCCATTTTTTTGTGTATTATTTGTGTATTATACTTTATTTACACATGTATTTGAGCTGGATGATGATATCACTGTTTGTTCCAGAGCTGCTTTATAGATTAATTACACTCATTCCATAATTGATGGACTTCACACAATTAATGAACTTACTGAATCAACAACGAACTGATTTCAACTGAATAATGACTGCTTTACAGCAGAATTGAATTCTGTTTGCATCATCAAATCACTATTTTCTTGTTTATCACTGTAAAGCTGCTTTGAAACAATCTGTATTGTATAAAGCACTATATAAAGCTGACCTGACTTTATATAAACAAGGAAAAAGGTATACCTGTGTGTATTCTGCGATGGGCTTTCAGATGCGAGCTCTTGGTGTAGACTTTGTTGCAGCCGTCATAATCGAACTCATTTCCATCTAATTTTCTCTCTCCCAGCAATCATCTGACCGAATGTCTGAACAATTATACACACACCAGCAAAAGACCCTCTTGTTCTCCATCCTGCCCCATTACCCTGCCACTTCTGTCTGTCCTTCTTTGCATTTTACTCCCTCTTTCAAAGGTGTGACGACATTGCAAGTTATGTAACATTGTTTACACCCAGTTTAAAAAGAGAACCCTGCCCAGCAATACACACACCCAACAGAAGCTTATAATCAACGTAAAATGTAAAAAGAGCCATGGGCCTCCAGTGTGTTGAAGGTTACATAATCATCCAGAGGAGTGGTGCAGTGATGCCATTAGACCAGGATGCCAGACACTCTACCATATATATATATATATATATATATATATATATATATCCCAATAAGGAGATATACAGATGTATATGGATACACAAATACACTCTCTCTCACCTGGGTTCCATCCCTTGGGTGCTGAAAGAGGCCGATCCAGACTCTGTGCCACTCTCAGCATCACTTTCAGACTGATACTCGACTGGAGAGGTTGAGCCTGGCTTTATACGCACTGAGAAAAAATAAAAAATAAACAGAAATATGAGTGAAATTCTCAAATGAAATATCAAAATTAATTTCAGCATTTTTTAGTATCTAACCCGTTATTATCATTACTATTATTATTAATATTTTGAATATATATTAATATTTATATGTTATTATATTATAGAAAACAGTTATTTTAAATTGTAATAAAAACGGGGTTTTTTTATCAAATAAATATTGCATTAATGACCATAAGGGACTTCTTTTAAAAACATGAAAAAAGTCCTACTGAATATTTCTCAAACTGCATTAAATTGCGCAAGAAATATATATACTTATATAAACATTTATCCAAATATAAACATTTTCTGCTTTCAATTTAATTTAAAAGTTGTAAGTAATTTTGTTGAGTTTTTAGCTTTTATCAGTTCATTAATATGCTTTTCAATTTCAATTTCAATTTCTAATTTCAGTTTTAGTTACTTTAGTACATAAAGTAAATGAAAATGAGAAAAGCTGCCTTGGTAACCAGCTAACATAATGTAAAATGAACATCGAACTGATCTATATTTGGTTCCAATTTTGTTTTTAATGGAAGTGGTTCTAAAGAAAACTCAGCTCTTGCAATGTGGACTCAGACTTTCAAACCCCACTGTATATGTTGTTCTGTTCACATGTTTTAGAATCCTCCCACTGAAATAAGGTGTGAGTAGAGCACTGTGCCTATTTCTCAAACAAGCCATATTAAATCAAATACAGAAAACCCTTCCTGCCATAAGTTTAATTCAAACAACATCACTTCCAGGACCCTATTTGATTCAGAACATTATTTAAAATTTGTGAGAGGTAGTTTTGGGCGATCTGCTCCATAGTCATATATCGTCCTATCGCGTCAGCCTGTGAGATCGCCGATACATGATATTATCATGCTAATTTATTTAATTACTTCCTTAGATTCATATCCGGAGAGTGAACCAACTCCAGGGTAGGGGTTAACCGACTTCTGATTTTTGGAAGTCAACTTTTATGTGATGAAAGTCGAGTCGAAGTCGACTAGTCGCTGATGACGTCATTAATGAACAAATAAGTCTGGAGCTGTGACAAACACCTTGTGCACAATTATATGGCATATGACACAGCGCTGCCCACATGGCTGTTGCTCCTATAACAGCTTTTTTTATCAGTTCTTTTGTCTTTAGGTCGTTATATTTCTCACAGATTTCTGCTCATTCAAAATCAAATACAGATAAAGTAGCACGGTAAAGATTACCTTAAT